GAAATTATGCCTAAATATTAAATTTTGTAAAATTTGGTGCAACATTTACGTAGAAATTCAAAAATTTATTTTGGCGTATTTTTTTCGTTTTCGCCAAGAATAATTTACTTGGCGAACTTCTTAATTTATAGCAATCCATTTTCCTTTCTTTTTTTTTCATTGCAAACGAGCCCGGGGGAAAAGTCATCTTTCATACTTTCAAATAATTTAACAAAGTACGTATTATCATTTGGCGTTATTATCGCTTCCCCCCAAAAAAAGATGCCAAATTTCAAAACGCTCCAATATTTAAATTCATGTATACCTTAGAAAATTTTGAATAAAATACCCTAACCTTTTGCATCTACTTTAAGATGATGTCAAAAATTTTGTAGGTTATAATACAAAATTATTTTCGAAAAATTTTTAAAAATTATTTGAAAATACCATAAAAATGGGTGAATTTTATTTGGAATGAACCTACATTTCGAATTGTGATAGAAGGAATCAAGTAAGTGTAAAAAAAAGCGATATTAATAAATACATACGAAATTGAATTAACATTGAGAAGCTAAAAGTTTGAGAGCTAATTTTTAAAAAACTACTCGTGCGAGTTTTAAAAACGTAGCAGTTTGGCATAATTAGAATCGAAATATAAAAAAAATGGGCATGTAATTTCAGAAAAAGTCCGATTTTGTGTCAAAATACCTATATTAGAACGATGCTATATATAACTCTAATACATATCCTATGTCGAGCTTTCGAGTCATGAAAAACTTTGAATTTCGTCAATCGGACGATTCTACTGGGAGATTGAGAACTGTTTCTCCCCCCTCCGCAGTGCACATAATTGAGATTAATTGAGATTGAAGAACAATCATGAAATCCCTAACCTAGAATATGACAAAACTTAGAGGCATGAAGAAAAGACATAAAATATATTTCATTCTTGCATATTATTGAAATTTATGTCACGTAAATGTTCTTGTACGTACAAACATTATAACTTTTTACACTTCTAGGGCTTCATTATAATCCCATTTATAAGCTTTTATGATAGATAAATGCTGAAAAATTAATCAGACACATATAAAAGTTCATTAAATGATTTACACATAACTTGCAAATTAGGAATCATAAGGTGATACTAGTGTAGCAGCTTAATCTTTTTTTAACTATTTGAAGCTTTGGTAATAATATTCAGTGCAGGCAAAGGCGACTCATAAATGTACTCCTTGTTTCGAAGCAGAAGAATTTTGATCATTATATGCACTGAAAATTAATTTATGCAGCATTCAATTTTTCTATAACGATATAAACGGAAATTAAATACTTCTTTATGTCCGTACCACACTGAAGTTAATAACCATTACGAGCAGGCGCCTTTTAAAAAATATTTTTCCGCCTTGTTTGCTGACCCTGTGAAAAAAAAAACCTTGGAATGGCAATACCAATTGCATCAGTGTGTCATGACTGCCATCGTAAATTTAAGTTTTGCATTCTAATGCTTTAAATAATAATTTTTCCACCCATTAACTTTCAAATGGATTATTATAATGTGAAATAAACTGCTATCGGTGTTTTAACTTATTCGCATTAATCATATTCTTTAGAGCTGTTATGTAAGAAAACCACGGCATTAAAGTTTTGCCAATGGTAATTCATCATAATTTTTCATCATTTAGTACTACATCAATTAATCTTCATCTATTAAAATGAAGCATTTATTACGGATCAATCAATTTTTTTTGTTTGGGAGTTCAATTATAAGCAGGCTTTGGAAGAGGGGAAAAAAAGCAAATTAGAAATATGCATTCAGTTTTTTTTACAAGAAATTACCCTTCCTAATACTCACAATATTTGAATTTGATTATCATAAACGTAATCCATGAAAATAAGTATTTATAGCATAAGCTTGTGAAACTTTGCCTTGTCTTTCTGTTATATTTAAAATTACTTAAAGTTACACAAAAGTTTAATAATATGTTTTGATTTGAACAAGGAATTATTTCTTTTTTGAATTTATTGTTTGAATTATTATTTATAAATCAATTCCTATGGATTAAACGCTTTTAAAAATTGATTAGTAAATCGTTTGAAAGAAATTTTGCCATACCATATTTAAACTTTTATGGATATCAAGTGTTATTCTTTGCTTTCTCATATTTCAGTTTTAAAATCAGAACGATATAAATACCAGCTTTCACTCACTTTTGTTTTTATGCAGAACATTCCTGGCAACTTAAAGTTGTTAACCTGGTTATTTCCCTTATACTGCAGAGATGACCAAATTAATTGTCGATGGATCAGCTAATTATTATTATGATTCATAGACTGAATTTAAATGAATTGAGTACCTTAGATATTGTCATCTTCAAATTTAATACTGAACTACTGCTTTTAATGTAGTTTCCTGCTATTAGTAAAACTGATATATAAAATTTTCACACCTTAATTTAGTTCTGTCTATTCATGATAAAAGAACTCAAGATGAAATTAGCAACTTAGCCTAAACAACAATAGAAAGATAAAATAATGTAAAAAACATCTGCTCATTCTAACTCGATTCCTATCACACAATTTTCTTGACCTAATAGTTAAAAAAATAATAAAAACACATAAAATTAAACTAAGAAGTTATTTTTAATGGTTTGAACAAATTAAATTTTTAAATTTTTTCCGGCATCAATAAATACGTATAAGCATTACATTGCGATTAGTTTTAAAGAGAGCACAATAATTATCTGGATCGGGAAATATTCGGAGAGATTTATTGTAGATTTCAGATAGAAATATTGCTAATGGAACCAGTGTGCTTTGCATTTTAGATTTCTAATTATTTTCAGAAAATCTACCAGAATGGGAGACATTTTAATAGTCATTTAAAAAGGTTACGTAAAAAACTGTTAATCAAATCAAGCAAATTGAATTTATAAACCTGTACCATTCGACAGCATTTAAGTCCATGAAGGTTTCAAATTCGACTATATTAAGTTGAAAAACATGTTCTAACTCCGATAGGCGTGATGTTACAGACTGTAATTAAAGTTATTATTCAGTAAATTATTATCATTAAGCATTTTATATGCTTGTATAGCATACGTAATTACAGACATTTCTGATTTTTTACTCCAAGGCATTAATTATTTGCCAAAAGTATAGATAAAAATTTTGGAATAATGAGGGATCATGCGCAGATAACGTTTATCATGTCAACAGCACGATACAGTAAAATATTCGTTATTTTATTTATAGTTTTCAGAAAGAATATTAATGCCAATATTTTTTAAATTCGAGAAGGGTAAATTGCTTCGGCAGACTTTTGATGTTTTGATCTTTTAGTTTTGAAAAGTTGTGATTTCCAGACAGCCTTTCTCAAGTAATAATGGTGATTCATTAATATAACAACATGAAGTGTTTCCATTAATGTTCAAATAACAATGGAAATTAGAATTTCAAACGTTTTAAATGAGGGAAAAAAAGCTTAAGTCAATTAACAAACATATAGAAATGTTTGAAGCAAATTGAAAAGGAATTAAGATAAGCCACATGTTCATATCGCCATAATTTGGCCATAATCGTTATATATGCAGAATTCTGAATTAGTTCAAATTCTATTGCTCATCCCAAATAACATTTTACATTATTTTTTAACCGTAATATTAATGTATAGTTTAAGATTTTAGTTGCAATATTGTTAGGAAGGCAAATACATGGTGCAGCAGTTTGATAAGCAAATAATCAGTCAGTTTCAGTAAGAAAGTTAAAAATTAGGATAAATTGAATTAAAATTAACAAGATAAGCAAAAATAATTATAAAATTAAAATGCCAGTTAGCCAAATTCTAAGCCTTCTGTTTTTTGTCTTTTCTTTATATTTTCAAATCACCTTACTAGATTTACTTATCTCAATTTTAAATTACAATTTTATACAGTTAACTATCGTTAGTGATATAAATTGTGATTTTAGAATAGCTTGATACCGCAAATGTTTCTCAGAATTAAATGACTTCAGATAATCCTGAAACATAAGGGAAGGTTATTAGAGCCTTGTAATGATAGCTCTTTTTCAAGCTAGAGATTCAACTGCGAAAAATGAAAATTCAACAGTTTGCACGGTTTATGGTTTTTATATCATGCTTATTTCTGATAATATTTATTAAGGGGACTCGTACACCTTAAAACCCATAAGATGTTCGAATAGGCGACTGTTGCAAGAATTGGGATAACTTATTTATTTTAAAAGCAGTTACTACCAACTTTTTACAGCTGACTACATAATATAGCTGCTTTCTGAAATAGTGATCAGAAAGTTTGCGTTGCCACAAATATTTTTATAATTTAATTCGCTTTGTGACAACATTTTTCGTCATGTTTCCAACTTGCGCGCACAGTTTAAAACATTCTGTTTCATAATTTAATTCCATATTTAATATATAGCTTTTATATTAATTCCATATTTAATATATAGATTTCCATATTTATTATTAATTCCATATTTAATATATAGCTTGGAAACTACTGTGAACCTAAAATTCTAAAAATTTCATGTTAAATTTTTATTTTATTGAGTTGAGTTTTAAAATGTATTTTATTAAAAAAAATTTTAATGTTTTCGCCCATAAAATTTTTCAATATTAAAATAGTCATCAGATTGTTGGTTCAGTTAGAAAATAGTGCCCATATAAAGAATTCCATCCAATTTCAAGTATGTACCATTAGCCATTTTTAAAATATCATGCGCGCAAGGTGGAAACACGGCGAAATATTTTGTCACAAAGAGGATTAAATTACAAAATCATTTGTGGCAACACAAACTTTCTGGTTACTAGTTCCCAAAGCAGCTATATCATGTAGTCAGCTGTAAAAAGTTGGAAGTAATTGCTTTTAAAATAAATAAAATAACTCAATTCTTGTAACAGTCACCTATTCGAAGATCATGAGGGGTTTAAGGTGTATGAGTCCCCTTAAGTTGCATTTGCAATTGATTATCAGCTATAAATGTTCGAAAATGGAACTTACCTTTCTCCCTGCTTCATTATTGTGAAGATTCATTAGAGCTCTAGCGCTGGAACGTCCTCTGGCTGCCCTCAAGTCGCGAGCGTCTACGAAGCTCTTGGAGAAAGCAGTGCCATAAGCTACATTGTCTGAACAACCGGACCACTGAAAACCCTCGGAAGAATATCCGCGTACTGTCCGGTCACATCCGCATCGACCTAAAGCCCCACTACTGCAAGCTCGAGTTACAGTGTGGGCTACACCAGCAGCGGAAATAGCGTGAACAAACGCAGCTTCCCTTGTTCCTGAAATAAAACGAAGAAAAACTTAAAGCTAAAAATCAAAAATCAATAGTTTTTCAACGATCAATAGTCTCTTTCAGCAGAATAAACATAAATAAAGACTAATTAAAACTGTAAAGAAAAAAATATAATTTCTTATAAATATTTCTCACTTTTTAGTTTGTATTTCACTTGTAATTAGAGGTTGCTATGAATAAAAAGATATTATTCATAGAAAATTACTTTTGTACTTTTTTCTGTTGTTCAGTGAGAAATCTTTTATCGACAGCTCAAGAAATCTCGAAAATACTCTTAGTCGTTATTATAGAGTTTTTAGCAGCGCTGAGCAAATGTTAGCATTTTGATAAAGGATCTTGATCACAGATGCAAAGCAGAGGTAAAGGGGAAAATATACAGACAACTCCGCTAGAATAGAAAAGCAGTTAAGTAATTTCTGTGACAGAATAGTACTGATGAAAATGAAGATAATATTCAATGCGTACAGTATTAGCCTATCGAAATTTGAAATTCCTACTATACGTATACAGTTAAAAAAAATATTCCCCTTTTCGTACTAAAAATAAATTTTTTTTGCCGTTCATAAAATGTCGAATCTTTTTCTCTATTGTAATTAATGCGACATTGCAATTAATGTAAATAAATGTATTTTTGTAACTGGGCAAGAATTTTGTTGCTGTGTGGAAACATTAAAACGTCGTTCAAAGAAAATCATTCTATATGGAAATTTTGGAGTTAAAAATTTTAATGCTTCTAGAAAAGTATGTTTTTTGAAAATACCATGATCTGCGAACATTCTTTGTATTTTGTTCCGATCACGATGCGATGAAATTTCAAGAAATTTTCTCCTACTCTATTAATCAATTTAACACATCAGAAATATTCTTCACTAACAGCAGCAAAAATTAATCATTGTTCCCTCTAATTTTTCTTATAACCGCCTGGATCATAATTAGGACAGTAACTTTATTCTTAATACGAAGTTTCCTAATTATTCTCGGCACGAATTTCCACAATTCCAAGATTCAGTTCGAAATTTAAGGGATTAATTTAAGAAACTCTAATTTCTCAAATATCGAATAAAATGAATGAATTTTTAATTCTTCTATTATTTTTAATATTTATTATACTTGTTAAATTGTTCTAATGTTAATTTCCATTAGACTTTGCACAAAAGTAAATCGAAAATTAATGCTGCTAATAAACCACGTTAATAATCGTTTTTAAATCGAGTTTTACTAGATTCTAGAATACAAGAAAAAGTCGTTTCCCAAAATTACTTGAAGTATATATCTAAAGTAATGACGTTGAATACGTTTCCTTAGAATTTGATTGGTGTATAAATTAATTTGAACTAAAATGCATTATATAATTTTTTAATTATGTGAGTTATTCCTTCCTCTCTGGTATACATCTTCTATATAAAAATACCGTCCAATTAGGTAATAACTTAACCTAAAATAATGACACCGAAAATGTTGAACCTCGGATCACGAACGTTATATATCACAAAGAATTTAGTCAACGAGAGGTTAGGTTATTTGAATATGGCGAAGCCACTAGAACTAACTGAATATCGTAGAGACCTTCTGATCACGGACAATCTATATTGTGGCAATGTGTTTGAGTTTTACTACTTCGCGTTTGCCTCATTTCGTCAAGAAATTCATTCATTACAGATTTATGTAGATTTGAGTGGCAGGCAGTTTCACTATAAAGTTAGAATAATTGAGCATAGCTATATTGATTTACGTATATAGAATTTTGGTTCTCATATCGATGCGGCCTGAAGTGAAACGTTTCTCTCTTGGCGATTTCACTGCTGATCTCATACTAAATGGAATAGGTGCAAAGGTAGATTTGATTTTAGTAAGTTTAAATCACTGTTGTGATTTTAGGTTAACCTTGCCATCTCGGTTAGAATAAATTAGATAGTTGGAAATTATAGCAGTTTTAAGGAAACTTGTGTTTCAATCAGATCCAGGTGACTGGATAAAATTTAGGTAACTTGTGCTGCATAATTTTTAATTTAACCCTCAGAGGTGATAAAACAGAATAAATTTAAACACCTATTTTTATCTCTTTGTTTTAGGATCACCCATAGGATCTACGCAGACCATCAATTAGATTCTAAATTGTACTGGAACACAGTAAAGGTGTTAAAATATGAACGAGAAAACTTCTGGGATGAAAAAGGTCTTTTGAATTACGAATACTTAAGTCGGCAGCGAATAATTCTCAAAGGTGTTTTGAGGTAACTTCTGCCACATAATTAACAAGCAGCGACTTCTGGAAACATCTTTTTAATCATTCACGTTATAAGGTATTTTCCCACCTTCCTAGCATCCCTTCCTGGTGTGGTGGTCTGCACGCTGGGCGCGTATTCCAGAGGTCCGCGGTTAGATTCCCAGCGAAGGCGGTAGCTAATTTTTCATTTCTCCTGCTTCAAAAAAAATGTCTCTACAGTGGCGCCCAAACTAACAGGGTGTTGGATGATGATTCTTCTCACCCCGATTTTGGAGATTGGGTCCCCTGAAAACCCGAGTCGCCCTTTGAAAGAAGGAGTATATAAGGTATTTCTCTCACCTTCCTAGCGTGCCTTCGTGGTGTAGTAGTTCTGTACGCTGGGCCGGTGTTCCAGAGGTCCGTAGTTCGACTCCAGGCGAAGACGTTTGCTAATTTTTCAACTTGCCTGCTTCCAAAAAAATACCTAATGTCTCTACAATGTTACTTAATCCTCATTAAAAAGGTCCTGGCCGCAAGTGACTTATAAAACAGTGAATTTGTCCTTGAGGAAATTACATCCAGATTATCGTGCAAGGGAAGACTTTTGAGGGCTTTCCCATGTAAGATGTTTTTGTTATCCAAATTATTGTGTTTCTAGGCAAAACCACGGGCTTGGATGTTAACAATCAAATAGTGAAAAAGTTAATTAGGTGACAATAAAAATGACATCAATGACATCACTAAGAAGGAACTGGAATAATTTCAAAAGCCATCTATCTACAAAAGCAATTTTTGAAGGAAATATCTTAGAGGGGAAAGGAAGAAAAATATGATAATAATTCACTGATCTGTAAAATTTGTTTCATGTGATCCGTAAAATAAGCTTTGATGCAATGATATCGCCCTAGCAAAGCACCAGCAAGTTCCAGCATAAGTATTTTCAATGCTAATTCCATATGCCACTTCAGAAACTTTTTAAAATCTAGACAAATTCGGATCACATATGAAGCAGATCACATTGGACAAATTTTGAACGAAAGGGAGACCCTTTTAGTCAACAGCCGCTAAAAGGTAAAGAAAAAATAAAGGAAAATTTTAAGAATACTGATGTTTTTATGGGCAGAGACGTCTCATCCAAATAGAAACATTTGTTCACTTTCTCTTGTTTTCCCCTTATGTCATCTATGCTGTTAGTACAAATAGGGCAAAATTAAATTAAATTTTCGTCCGTTTTACTTATTTAATTATTTTGCTTTATATTTAATTTTTTCCCCCTTGTATTTGCGTTACGGCGAACGGCTTTCAAGAATGAATCGGTTTTAGTACTCATCTTCCATTTAGAAAGATCCTAGAAACACTGTTAAACAGTAACTTTAACCTCAATAGTGCTTAAAATGTTTCCATAATTTCATTAGTTTGAATTACTAATTCCAATTAAAAACGTATTATGTATCCTAGATAGTATTAAAAACGTATTTTAATTTATTTATATGAGCCACTTCTTCGTTTATGGTTTCCATTCCCTTCTTGAAAGGTTAGACGCAAAGTTTTTCGTGAAATTAATCCTATATAGCGAAAATTTTGCGAAAGTTTCCTGCTTGATCCACGATCCTCTGATTTTGCCTTTTTCCCCATGAAAACATTACTGCCCTAATCATTATATATATTATCTGATTCGCTACAATCGACTACTGGATTGAATTGGATTTTTATTGTTCGATAATGGCAAAATACCCGTGAGCAATCTGCCTAAAAAAAGTTATGCACTTGGAGGGCTTTTTAAGGAAACTTGAGTCGTATTCGCGTTACACTTGAGGAAAACTTTGAAACTTCTCACGCAGTTAGTCCGTTCATCGGGATTTGAATCCAGATTGAACTACACGTGTTCAGCGACTCTACCGCTCTCGCGTATATTGATACAGGAAAGAAAAACACTTGTAGCGCTTTACAAAAATCTATGCGCGGCTGCAGACTAAGAACACTGAATTTGATCAGTTCAAAAACACTATGTAGGAATAAGATATTCCAATATTATAGACTAATAATTGTTTACTGAGTAATTATCGGTTGAATCGTTGGGTAATTCTTGTTAAAACGTTAGCTCATAAACATTTCATTAAACTGGCAATTACTTCAATCACAACTTCCAATAATACGTAGGTAACTTTAAAATTTTTGACATTGGGCAGACAATATGCGCCAAAAACAATATTTTTAGACACGTAAATCTGAACTTTCTTATGTCCTCAGATGATAATTTGTGGCAAAAATTGCAATTTATCTACCGTAAAATATAATTTTTGAAAGAACGGAAAGTGGAGCTGACGCAAGAGCATTATGGCGCGCTATGATTTTAATGTGGGGCTGAATTAAGAATGCCTTCAGCGTGTACATTTGACATATGAAAATGAAAAGCATCTCGTACCACTGCATTCAGATGACATAAAGAATTTCGTAGAGATCGAAATTCTCTTCTGGATGAAGAATATATGGAAAACTATAGTACCAGAAAATCTGTCATCCATACGAAAATGTTAATTGAGGATATGCTTAATGAAAACTGTAGTACCAGAAAATCTGTCGGCCATACGAAAATGTTAATCGAGGATAAGCTTAGTATCTACCAAGTGATACAGAAGGAACTTAATATTAAGGGGACTCGTACACCTCCAAACCCGTAAGATCTTCGAATATGTGACTTTTGCAAGAATTGGGATAACTGATTTATTTTACAAGCAATTACTTCCAACGTTTTACAGCTGACTACATATTATAGATGC